CTTAGTATAGAATTACACACTTGTGTTATGAGAAGAGGAGGCATCCAGGAAAGGAGTGAGGCTTCCTCGACCTGGTGTGGGCTTCTCAAAGTGGAGTCAGGCTTCATCTTCACTATATCTGTCATGTGTACAACTTGGGTGGTTTTTGAAATTTTTGTATTTAAAGGGTTGCCAAGGAATTTAAATGAGGTAACAGAATGGCACCTGAGGTACAGCAGACAAGATTACAGTGAATAAATAATGCCTTAGATCATAGAGATATGGGAAGTTAGTGTATTTTGTATTTTCATGTATATAGTATTTTTTTTGTGAGATTCTCAGAAAATACCTGTTGAGAGGAGTGAGGCTCTATCTAAGATCATATATACCCAGGTCTTAAGTATGGTTTATTGATAGTCTATTATTGTCACCTGAAAATATTTCTATAGAAAAGGCAGTTTGTCTCTGTGTTATAGCAACCTACAGAGAAAATGCTATTCATACTGGAATTACTCTCAGCTGCTGAGAGTTTTTAACCAAACCCCAGAGTGAGGAGTAGCATCCTCAACTTTCTGTCTTGCTTCATTTTCTGTGGGATAAAGATGTCACAGTGTCTTTGCCTGACCCGGGGACCCTTTTGCTCTAGTTTTCCTTCACTCTGCTTCAATGTGAGCATCAATAGATTCAGAGATGTCCCCAGCTTTCAGATTTACAGACTCCACAGGGGAGGGATAGGAATCTTTGTGGCACAGCAGGGTGTTCCTGGTTAGCTGCTGGCATCAGCAGCTGGTGTGGTCTCTCTCCCCATCTCCCCTGGGTAAGTAAAGCATTTGTGACAGGTCATCCTGACCTCTTGATTGGATGAGATGCACCTATCTGATTAGTGAAGTGCACATGTAAGAATGTTTATAAGGGGCATTCCAGAGACCACTAGGGGAGGAGACATGCTCTTGGTGTGGATGGTATCATTCCATAGGCTGTGGACCCTCATCTGGTGATAGAGAGGGAAACCTGTTAGCACAGACCTGCCTCCCCTCTGCTTCCTGATCACGAGGTGGTGAGCTGTGCCACACACCCCTTTTCTTCCTACTATGATGCACCAAAACCCCTGAAACCATGAGTCAGAATAAGTGCCACTTATTGATGTGTTCAGACATTTGCCACAGAGACTAGAAACTGTCAGCATTGTCCTAGTCAACACCTGTGTTTTCCTTGAAGAAGTCATTAGCAGCAAGCTATGGGTATAAGTGTTCACATTCTGCTCTCGGGGTGGGTGACCAGTATGTTCTGTCTGCTTAGCAGTCTGGCACAGAAAGCAGGGTCACCCAGGAAACAAGCCATGGCCTTGCCAAATGGTAGCCATTGCTCCAAGATGGGGTTGGCAGGGGGCGAGGGGTGATAGGAAAACTGAAGCGCTAGCATCCTTTGGCTTTTCAGGGACAATGTGGCGATAATGAAGTCTCATCACATCCCAGATGATGCCTGGAGCAGGCAGAGGGACCTGTGCAGGGGACCATCGTTGGTCTGGGTTGCTCGAGGCCGCCTAGTAAGAACTGTTTTCATGCATTGATGAATAACTTATAGTCTTAATGAGAACGAGACTTAAAATCAGGTCATTTTCTGAGGGAGATATTTGACTTTGAAAGAGCAGATATGGACAAAAGGCCAGAGAAGCCTCACAACACAGCCGGACTGGTGTTTGTTTGATAAAGAACCATTGGAGATACAAATGTCTTAGGTTGAATGGTGCTCTCAGAGATGGGGCCAAGTGACTAGTGGCCTTGTTCCCCTGTTAGGATAAAAAGGAGCTAAAGGAGGACTTTCCTGTGGCTTTTGCATATTGGTGCTTCCAAGACAAGATTTTCTGGTCTCCTTAAAAGACAATGGAAATGGATGACAGGCAATTTGAGCTAATTTGCTGACCCAGGGTATTTTTCTGCCTGTGGTGTTTGTGTTCACGTGGGTGCGGCCCTTTGGGTGATTTCAAGTGCTGGTGACTATGGTTCCTATTGCTGAGTGCATCACAGCATTGACACACTGTCTGTTTGTGGAACACAGCACCATCAGCACCTTAGGGAATATATGCCTGCTCATAGTTAAAGATTTGAGCAATAGGAGGAGGATGTGTGAACCCCTGCCTGCCAGCCAAGCCCCAGTTGGTTAGTCAGCAAAAGCGATGCCATGTAGCTGGAGGGAAATGAGATGCTTTCTTTGTTCATCCAGTACTCACTGAGGCAGGATGTCACAAATAACCTTGTCACTATGGAAAGGTCTCTTTAGTTCACAAGACTTTCAGGGCATGAAGACCTCCCCCCCCCAATACAAGTGGACAGACTCAACACAACTCCATCTCCAAATAGAAATGACACATACAAGAATATCTAGGGTCCAGTAGTTCCATGATCAAACAGCCAGCTCACCAGGATTCAAAATTCAAACATGTGCCCTGACATGCAGTTCTACAGAACTGAAGGCCCACGGGGCCCATTGGACCTAGGCCATTCCTAGCCTGATTAATTTGCTACAAATGAGTTAGTCAGTTCTGGTTCAGATTGTCCTGCTGGAGCCTAGTGCAGGAACTCAACCCAGAGCAATGGCTTCCCATTTAACACCCCCTTTCCTTAGTCTATACCACCTGCTCTCACAGAACTTTCAGGTGAGCCAGAGGTGAGAGCCTAGGTCCTCCTCAGGCTGTTCTGAACCTCAAAAACCCCATCATATGCATGCATGGTCTCCCGGAATCCCAAGAATGTGCTGCCCATTTTCAAAGCCTACACCCTGTTTCCCAGATTTTCCTTTGAAGGTCATTCAATTTGTGCATCATTGTCGTAAATGTTACCATCACCTCAGGCAGCTGGTGCTAAGCAAGACCCTTGATTGTTGCTCAACAAATGCATGAGTAAGAAGTTGTACATTCCTAGTCTGAACTATGAGTCAGGTCATATGAAGGCAAACTTAAAGGTGGGCTGTGCAGGGACCTAGTGAATTGGCCACATGTTGCCATAGCTCTGCAGAACTGCATGTCAGGGCACATGTTTGAATTTTGAATCCTGGTGAGCTGGTTGTTTGATCATGGAACTACTGGACCCTAGAGATTCTGGCTAGGCCCTTCTTGTATGTGTCATTTCTGTTTGGAGATGGAGTTGGAGTTGCTCAACCCTTCCCTGGCTTTGATGTTCTCTGGCTGCTTTATTTATTTATTATTATTATTATTGTTATTATTATTATTATTATTGTTATTATTACTGAGACTGAGGGTTTTTGATTGTTTGATCTCTCAGAGACTCTTTTCTTGCATCCAATTTTTCGTATTCCATACAATCTATACAATCTCAATTTTCCCCTTCCTCTTACCACTTCCTCTAAAAAAATCCAATTTTTCCCCTAAAAGAAGTGACAACTTCTATTAACCTCTTCATTGCTCTCTATAATCAGTAAATACTTGGACCATGGTGCCCTTACTTTTGCCCTTTTTGTCATTTCTGTCCTGTTGCTGGAAGAAAAATGAGGCCAGTATGACAATGTCCTTGAGCTTTCCAGGTGTATTACTCAGGGTCTCCCAAGCATCTCCACATAGAGTGGTCCCCCTTCTCTTCCTGCTGTGATCAGTTCACCTTTCCACCTTCCTGGTTACCTCTAGCACCCAGCCTGAGATGTGGGCCAGAGCCATATATGTCCTTCTCCACCCTCCTTTCATGCCCAGCTCTGGAGCATATTTACTGAGGCTGCTTCAATTCTGTGGTAACCTGTGTGTGAGCATTGATGCTGAGTGCTCATCCACACCTTGAACCCCAGCCCTCAGCTCTTTAAGACCACGCAGACCCAGGATGAGAGGCTCTAGGGCATAACCCTGACTGCCTAGCTGGTGAGCTTTCTAGCTTCTAAAGCCTCAAGTAATGGTGACGAACACAGGGCACTAGTGCAGATGCAGAGCTATTTTATTTAGTAATGATCATGGGATTAATCATTCCTGATGAAAAAGGAGATCAGGTTTCTTGGGTAGAAGGCTAGCATATAATTTTCCAGGACACAGGCCTCCTCCTGTGAGCCGTGGGAAGATGGGCAGGAGGCTGAGCAGCTGCAATCCTCTGTTGGGAGAAGAGCTTGATCAGGAGGGAGATGTAAAGTCAGTGACTCTCATTGGTATTTTTAACATCAAACTGGCCCTCTGAGGGACAGAGGCACGCTGAGACCCAAGGATAAGATCTCAGCCATAAGGAGCCTGGGTCTTTGTGCATGTGTTGTCTTTGTACCTGTGTGGACTTGACTGTCATGAGTCTATACATGTTTGCACATATGTGTAAGTATAGTGGTATGATACTGCATGCATTTGTATCACATATGTGTCTGGGGTGTGTGTGTGTGTGTGTGTGTGTGTGTGTTTGTGTGTGTGGTGTGTCCATGATAATGCACGTTTCTTTTTTTTTCCAATTGTGTTGATGTGGTGCCTGTATCTCTCTGCCTCTGTCAGCTTTTCTATGGACTATTGTGTGTATTCCTATGTATACCATGTGGATGCTTGTCACTCTTTGGATATTGCTATAACTTGAATCTTAGATGTTGCCATAAGGGGCCAGATGTTAAAAGTGTGGTCCCTATGGTAGCGATGCTGTGATCCAGTGGAGCAGTAGGAGTGGGGTCTCTGGGGAGTGGGAGGTCTTTAGGCGACAGGGGCATGACCTCTGAGGGAACTGGAATTCTACCTCTTGCTGCCTCTGGGCTACTGAACGAATGAATGTCTTCCTCCACTATAACATGCTGCCTTATCACAGTCCCAAAGCAATGGAACAATTGGTCATGAACTGGATGTGCAAAACTGTGAGCCAAAAGAAACCCCTTTCTCTTTATAAGTTGACTGTCTTATGTCTTTCATTAGAGTGATGGAAAGCTGACTAATACTGATGACGCTGTTCCTAGATCCCTGCTTCCTTCTAGAAGGATAATGGCCAATCCTCAAATATCGAGGAATGTGGGATAGTACTCACCAGCTCAACTAAGGCCAATCCTCCCTTCCTGGGGGCCTAGACCTTGATGACAAATTGTAATCCATGGATCAATAATTCTGGACAACAAAAACAACACAAAAGCCAGATCAGAGTCACAATCTGGTGGTGAAAGAGTCCAGCAAAACCTATGGTCACCAGCCAGGCTTAACACACTCAAGCATGTGGGGAAGGTTGAGCCTCCTCCTCCAGACAGTCCAGCTGTTCTCAGGTCAGGCTGAGAGGGGAGGCAGGTTTTACTTCAAACTCATCTGATCATTCATGGTGACAAAAATACCCCCAAAGAGGGAGGGACGATGTCAAAGGACAAAATTCACTGGGGGAAACATGTTTCCTTGGAGTGGGAGAAGACTTGTAAACAGAACTTACCAGCAATATCATGCACCAGGGTGACATCCAAATGGCTGAGAATCCCATTGACCAGAGGACACACCTGACCCAGGGTAGAGGGGGTGTTAGATACAGCACTCCCTACAAGGAGACCCTTGGAGAAGCAGCATGCCCCAGGTGGATTATACTCAGGAATACTTTCTACATCCCAGAAGAAGCCAACCACTGTGTTTGGAGAGGTGGAAAGAAGTTACACAGATGGCTGGACCACAGGACAGATAGACTGATGGATGGATTCATTCTCACACAGAGTGGCTCAGCTTAGTTCACTACAGGGCTCTTTTTCAGCCCAAGAGACTCTAAGATCCCTGGACAGGGGACTGTCACTTTGATCTCTTACCTTGCCTTGCACCAGGTCAGGAAGGACTTTAGTCAAGATGTCTGTGAGGCTGTCAAAGACGCTTTGAAGTGGAGTGGCTCTGGAAGAAAATCATGGGTGTGACCCAGAGGCTTGGGGTTGTTCTGGAGAAGTTCACCAGCCACTATGCACACTCAGTCTTGGCATCTAGTAACCGAGACCAGGCTTTGCACACTCATGTCCATGCCATATTTAACAGCAAGGATCCCAGATGAAGAGAGTTACACCCAGCCCAGCTATGCACACACAGTTGAGTGTAGAATAAAACATACTTCATGGACATAGTAGGTATACACCAAGACTGTGGAATCCATGAATGCATGAAAAGTATTTAGTCTGTAGCTGTCATGGGGTCTCAATGAAATGATACATGCAAAGCCCAATATATGTATTAATCAATTGTGAGTCATGGTGTGGCCAAGTCCTATACACTATGAATGACTGGGTCTTCCCATGTGGCAGGCAACTGGAACAAGCATCCCAACTGGTGCTACATCTATTTACCTCTTAGGAGAATTCTATCAATAACCACATGTAATTTTGTATTACAAATAAACAGCATGAGACAAAATTTGAGACATATTAGTGAAGCTCACATTCCCTGTGATAGGTAGGGCTTAAATTAAAACTATTTATTGCCTAATCCATTATAAAATTAGCCATACTATTATAAGTATAACAACACAATAAACAAAATAATGCTCTCTAAGAGTGTCTAGATCACTTTTGAGCATCTTACAGTAATAAAATTTGTCTCTTGGTACTAGACAAGATAATTTTAGATTATCTGTGAAGGTCCATGAAGTCGGTAAAACAGACAAAAATATTAATGTCATTAAAAAAATCACAGTGTGCACAGCATTGCTAAAAAATCACAGTGTGTACTTTTTCATAGCATTAAGAAATTGGCCATTCTGTCTAACAAGGGATAAGTGAGCTTTTATGTATTCTATTACTTAACCATGTGTCCATGTTTGTATATCTTTCTCTTCCCTCACCAAACATACATACGTCAGTCTACCTACCCATCCTCTTCTCCTCCTTCTCCCCACATACCCATCTTCCTTCTTATCCTCTTACTCATCTGTCCACCCATTGTTCTGTAATTCCACACTGCTGTCTCTGGGTGGGAGAAGCTAGCTCTTTGGCCTCACCCATTGAGCAAGGTGATTTGCAGGCTGCCAGGGGAGTGGGTGCAGTCACCGAGGACCAAGTGGATCCTCCCCTGATTGTCTTTCACGGCTAAGACTTCTGCAGTGATGTTCATCTTCACAGCCAATTTCAAAAGACTTCCAACCAGGGGCCTGCCAGAAAAGGAGGAAACAGCCCTACTGGATTCCGTCTTTTCCCTGTATTTCAAGGTGGAGGGTTGACAGGAGGGCCAGCCTCACTTCACCCTATATGTTTCACAGTTGTTCTCATCTCCCAAGTAGGAGAAAGCAAGGCTCAGAGAGGTCAAATTACATTGCTAAATTTTCTCACGGTAATAACAGCAATGTGCTAATGTTGGAGACCCCGGCATTTGAAGCTTCCCATAGCCATCAAGCTCTCCCTTTGTGAGGCACCCCCTTACCCACCCACTTGAGACCTACTCACGTATTCACTTTGAGTGTCAAACCCAGAGGGATGGTGACATAGAGACGATGACCATCAGGGCTCTGCACAAGGCCAAGTTCCAACAGCTGGGGATCAGTGATTTTTATGCTGTTCAGGGGGTAACATTAGAGGGATGAAAATCAGTGGTCTCAAAGGTTAAACCTGGAAACCTCTTTCACACAGTTTCACCCATCTCAGAGGGAGAGCTGGCCACTTCAGACAGGGAAGACAGGAAGACAGTTTTACAGCCATATCCATCTTCCTTAAATAGTATCCGAATTGAACCCGAACACACAAGGCCTTCTGTCAATCTCAGGTCTGGGAGGTATTGATGAAAGAGACTGCATATGATAGCACAGAAACTTATAAAGCAAGTGGATGGTTCTGAGGGTTGGGGGATACATAGAAGAGTGGATAGAAGAGCAAGTAAGATGAAAGGAAGGAAAGATGATGGAGGGGTGGATGGATGGACTGTCAGATAAAGTACATGGGCAACTAGAAAAGCCCTGCGCAGGACTCACAGCAGAATCACTAGCTCCGTCATAACCTGCAGTAGCATATCAGCCCTCAGTGCTTATCACAGGGATTAAAGAGTTGGAAAGAATGCAAAATGGTGGGAGGGAGTCTTCCCTGAGCCATCCACGGTGCCAGGTACTAACCCTTCTCTGGTCTCCTCCACAGCCTTTCTCTCTGTGTGTAAAACCCCACCTCACAGATGGAGAAACCAAGCCCAGGAGACCCGATCTTGGGTTATCCAGCACAGACAATTCTAGTCAAGCTCAAGTCTGACTGTCTCCAGGTCAGGAAGCAAAGGCCAGGGAATCCTGGCAATGACTTTGGTCCAGTCTTACTAAGGACTTAGGCTTGGGTATCTGGTCACTGGCGACAAGATCTCCACTGTGGCTTCGTGCCTAGGAGGCTATTGAGTGGCTCATGGGAAGCACCACATCGGGTCTCAGCCACATCACTCAGGTGATCCGGCTGAGGAGGCTATCCTAGTGACAGCTCACATTCCCCAGATGGGATGAGCAGGGGTGGAAAAGGCCCCCGCCTGGGGCTTCTCTGAGTTAGATTCCTGACTCTGCATTACCCAAGATATGTGAGCACAGGCACATCTCTGTGCCTCAGTTTTTCCATTTGGGAACTGGGGATATTGGAGCTGACATAGAAGGGTTGTCATGGAGATCATAGGTCCTGCTGGGGCTCAGGATGTGCCTTAGGACTGGGGACAGCTCCAGGTCAAAGGGCCACTGTTTCTGGTAGAGTGGAGAGAGGCCTGGGGACTGAATCTTGACTCCATTCTCAACCCACCCCTCTCCCTCTGTAGGGCTGCTGCCTGGGACTGGCAGGTGTTCAGTTGTTAGTGGGAACCAAATCCCTCTTTTGGGCAACTCACTCAAGAATGTTGTTCAGGAGAGGGATAGATGATGTCAGTTTTCCAAGTAGGCCCCCAACCAGGCCATTAGTATTGCCTCCTCCAGACTTTAATATATCCAGGAGTGGAATATTTTCCAAAATGCCCAGCAGTCCGCCGGACAGCAGGCCACCACTTAGAGCTGCAAAGGAGAAAGGGTCCTCAGGGTCACATCTGCTGCCTCAGGTCCTCACCCTCTTTCTCACTCATTCTTCCCTTCCCTGTATTGGGAGGTTAGGTATATTAGAGCACACATGTGTAAACAGACACGCATGCACACATACCCTGAAAGAGACTGTCATAGACTCACCATCTGTGAAGCTTCCGGCAAGATGGTCTGTGGGATTTGAAAGCAGACCTGGGGTCACAGGCAAAGGCAGGCCCTGGTCCAGTGGCAAGGGCAGGCTCTGGTCCAGTGGCAAGGACAGACCCTGGCCCAGGGGCAAGGGCAGGCCTGCCAACTGGGCTGAGCTCTGGGCCAGCAGCCCACAAAGGACAACGAGGCTCCCAACTAGAAACATCTCTTGGTATCTGCAGAAAGAATGACAAGTCTGCTATGGTGTGGGCAGCAGGGGATTCTCTCACTGCCTGCCCTGTTAGGGGTGGTGGATATCTTTCCTCCCCTGAACCCCAGCGGGTGATAACTAGCAACAACAGCCAACACAGACATAGAGTAGCTTGTCACATGCCACAGCCTGATACATCCAGTCACCAACTTCATTGCCACCTCATCTTCAGATGCAGGCACGGACAACCCCTACTGCACAATAGGAGCAGATGCCTAGTCACTCAAGGCAGTCTCCCCCAAGGTGACAAGTTGCAGTAGTGAGAGGAGCTGAAGTTAAGCATGCCTGACCCAGAAGCTTCTGTATAGTTAAGTGACTGTCATATTTACTCTGGGGCCAGAGATGTGACTGTGGTGGCCTGACCCATTGCCCTCACCCTTGCTCTTCAGATGGCAGAGGCTGAAGATCTGCACTTCTTGTTCATCATCTCTGCTAAGGGATGGTTCTTTGGTCTGTGTTCAGGCCATGAGGGTTTGTAGATAAAGAATGTCCATGGTCACATGACCAGAGACAGTGTCTCAACTGTGAAATTTCAAGTTGAAATTTCTTCCCTAGAGCATTCACTTTGGGCATGTGGAGAGCTCACTGATCATCAATGGTGCCCTCCCTAGGAAAGGTGAGTGAGTGGCTGGTCCTTGCCCGACCATGGCCATCCCTGTTTCTCTTGTAAGGTCCCCAGTTAGTGACAGTACAATCTGCCAGCATGAGCCTAGAGTAAGGCACATGGCCTCCTGCTACCCAGAGCATCTGTGGAGTAGAGGAAGGGGCTCACCTGAGTCTCAAGGTCTTGGCGGCCGTTCTGGGCTCCTCTCCTACCACTTCTGTCACAGAGGAATCAGCCTCTTTTATAGAATGGGAACTGGGAAATCTGATATTGGATGATGGGCTTCAAGATAATTCCAATTTCTGCAATGTGGAAGTGTCTTTCAGGGCTCTCCAAAGTAAATAATGGTCAATTACTCTAACAGGTGAGTCAGATAAGCTGTTCAGTCCACAAATTAAACAAGAACATCTGAGATGGAGGCTTACTCAAGACTTCATGGTTTCATGCATGACGCAGAGGTTGAAGACCCATGCTCACATGGCTGGCAGATCAGATTTTCAGTGTTGAAAGGAGCAGTCGGTCAGACCACGCAGAGTTTTGACCTTGCTCTCGTCTCTTGTGCACTCTTGTCCCCTGGTCCCATTCTTTCTATAGTTGGCAAACTCTTGTTCCCACAGTGATAGGAGTCAAATTGCATTTGCCCTCCCTATCCTCCACCACCCCTCAAATTCACTTGTGTGGGTGTACAAGTGGGTCTTTTGTTTTCAAGCCCCTGGTACATGCAGTCATGTGCCTGTACGTCCTCTTAAGATCTTGGGGCAGAAAGGTCACTGCTGTTTCCTTACAGAGGAGGAAACTGGGGCCCAGTTAGCACAAATGGTCCAGAGAGGAAGTAGCAGAGTTCGAAGCCAACTTATTGGTTAACAATAACTAGGAACCAAAGCCAGAGGTGAATACTTGCCAGGCTCTAGCCTGTGCCAGGGCCACTCATCCTGGTGAGGTGGCGTTTGGGTTTCTACAGTGAGAAACTGGGGCTTCAGCCTTCCCCACACTTGCTCTCCATTTTGGTTCCCCACACTGCACCTCTCATATCTGTGTTCTGGAAACATCTTTCTGGGTTGCCAGGCTTTAGGGATCTTGTAGCTCCCGGACCTTTCCTCTCACCCCTACCCTGTTCTCAGATAAAGTGATGAAGCATTGATCTTCACTACTTAGGGCTATGAGGACTACTTCACAGAGGGAAGAACAACCAGGCCATTTGATATCACATGGGATTGATTGCTTTGAAGTCACTATGAAGGCCAGGCTAGCCTTGAACTTATCCTCCTGCCTGAGACTCCTGAGTTCTGGGATGACAGGTGAACCCTTAACCTGGTCTGAGAGTAGGTCTTGCTACTAACTTTTGGGTAAATGGTGGCTGGTAAGGCCTGGAAAAGATCTGGGGCTGTGCATTTAGGGAATGGAAATCTTTAAAGTTGGGTATGGTTATAGTAGAAAACAGGGCAGGCTGGTCCATGCTGACCTGGGTAAGCCAGTTATGGAAGCTTTTCCCTCCTGTGTAAGATGGAGATGATGTCACACACCTCAGGGCTATGAGGAGAACACACTTGGGGAGCTGGCATGCATCTCGTTTGGTGTCATAGGCGTCCATACATTCTTCAGACACATTCTCCCAATTTATGCACCACCTCCTATTTCTGATTGCATTTTGTGCAGTTACAGAAACGTCTTCATTTCCCTTGGAGGTCTCATGTCTGCTCCAGGGACCTTACCTTTACCACTGTTCTCAGAGGAGGCTACCTTGTCCTTGATCTTGACTGGAAAAACAGGCACACCATGGGCCACCTGGCTTCCTCAGATTTAGCATTTACTGTCTTCTCCTTGGACACACAGCATTGTCTGTGCCCATATCCTTAGGCAAGACTATTGGAGGGCTGTTAGCCCAGCTGCCTATACCCACCTAAGCCCTCTGGTTCACCATCTCTCCTTGTCATTGTCTTGGCTCTGGGCAGAGGTGTGGGCACAGGCACCATCTATTCTCCATTCAGGATGTCTGTGAGGTTTCCCGAGTCTGTCCATGCTGAGTTCTGTCTTTCTCCAACATAGGGAATCATCCAGTCTTGAGGGTGGGGACTCTTTTTACACCCTTACACATTTGCTTTCAGCACTCTGCCTTGAGTTTGAAAAGCCCCAGATCAGGTGCACACACAAAAGTAACATTCAGTAAAGGTGCTCTTCTTTCAGTGTGAACTTGTATGAATTCTAAACTAATATGGTTTTTTGTGTGACCATCATAGTAGGGGCTGGGGCATTTCAGTCCAAAACATTCCCCATCCATACTGTCCTTGGTACCCATTCATCTGCTCTCACTAGCTGGGTTCAAATCCTAGACTTAGGAAACTTAATGCACCCTATCTATACTTCTGCTGGAATTGCTCCCTGAGGAGTTCCATGGGCTGCATGCTTGGTGCTCCAGCAGGGAAGCTTCTGAGCGGGCACAGCAGCAGGACTCACAGCTAATGTTCCAGACCCAGCCTCCCCTCCCAGGTGACACTGTTGAGGCCCAATGTGTTTCTTTGAATTTCTCTGTTAAAAGATTACAGTCTGTTCCAGGTTTATTCCCTAAAACTTGGGAGTGGAATATAAGGGAGGTAAACTTGAGAAGGATTTCAAATGGGCTTGGAAACTCCAGAGGGCAGAAGAGGTGGGGGAAGGAGAAAGGACCAAAGGGAGGGAGGGAAGAAGGAATTTGATGAGAAAATGGACCTAATGGGTCTTCTCAGGTGGTGTTAGCCACAGGTAAACTCCCCTTGAGACTACCTCACCAGCATCAGGGACAGCAGCAAAACCCTCTTAGGAGATCCTGGAGTGGTATACCCTCAAGTATACCACTTGTCATGATCCTTTGGGGAAAACTGTGACCTGCCTGAAGTCACCTCAGCTACAGAGAGGTGACAACATGCTATCATCAGTTAGGGCTGTATCATTTCAGTGCCTTTCAAGGACAAGTTTGCAGTCTTCAGTTCTGAAAGAACTGGCCATGTTCTCTGGAGGCCTCCTGTGGGCCATGATATCAGCAGGTTCAGAGTTCCAAATCTGACAGGCTCATCACCAGAGGAATGATGCTGGGAAAAGTGTTTCTCTCCTCATCCTTTCCTTCTCTTTTTTCTTTTATGTTTCATTCATTTTTGAATTAAAAAAAGCTGTGGTAATAACTCAAGCTAAAGCCCACTTCCTTTGTGGACTTTCTAGTATGAGATACACCACTGTTATCTATAGGAACCATGAAGGAAATTTCTAGAACATTTCCAAGGCTTCTCTTTCACTTTTGTTACCTCACCTATAACATGGAGTTAACCACAAACACCCCCCAAGACTGTGAGAGGTTAAAGTTTGGGGAAAGTGGTGTAGCTCCAGCTACATAGCTGATTCAAAGGCTGCCTGGACACCAGAGGGCAAGGAAGGTGTAAGGCACCCAGAGGTAGGACCGGAACAAAAGTTCTGACTATCTGGGGATAAATGTCTGCTCTATCCACCCATCACTGTGGACCCCAAGAGCACCAGAGGAGTCGGTAGTCAAACAAGCTCTTCTGGAAGCAAGTGTGGAAAGTCCCCGACTCTGTGAACCTTAAAACAAAGACAGGGTTGGAGAATACCAAGGAGGCTTCTTGATGGAGACCTTGAGACAACCCAGGAGGTACCAGGAGGAATGCAGACAAAAGCCACTCCCAGGGAAGCAGGCAGCCTTTTGGCCTAGCCCTCCTGTGTTTGCTCTTTGACTCAAGAGCAGGAAGAACCCTGTAAGCCAAAGGCTATTGTAAGTGGAATGCTCCGGAACATGGCGTTTAGGGTTGCAAATCCCCGGTGAAGCATTTCGGATTAGGGAGATTGAATTGAAAGATGGAGACAAGAAGTTCTCTGGCCCTCTTCTCATCTCTGAGCTGTCCACACTTCCTTGTTTGAGCTTTTCAGTTCACCTGAGCCTGGATTTCATCATATTCCCCTTGGGTGGGAGGGACGGTTGGAGGGGATGCTAGAAGGGAGGGAGGGAATGCCTGGGGGATGGGGTCTCACAGTTAAGAGTGTGAGCTTTGGAATCCTGCTGCCTGCGTGTGACTGATGGGGTTGACCTGGCTGACATGGCCAGTTCATCTCTGTGTGACTTTAGGCAAGTAACATTCTCTTTCAGAAATCTCACGTGTAAACTGGGTGACAGTTTTGTACCTCATGAAGTTGCTGTGAGGTATTTAATGAGGTGCTGAAGACTTGTCATGTGTTTATGATATGTGCTACTATTTATTTATTTTTAAAGATTGGTTTTCAATTATGTGTTTGAGTATGTATGCCACATGTATGCCCATGGAAGCTGGAAGAGGGTACTGGATTATCCTGGAGGCAGTTATGGGCCACTCAACATGGGTGCTAAGATCTGAAACTAGGACCTCTGGAAGAGCAGTAAGCACTCTTAACCACAGAGCCATCTTTCTACCCCATGCTACTATTACTAATATGTGTACAATATTGATCCTTAACCTTTGATGGGTTAGGATGGGACTCAACATTCAATCACTGAGTAGCCAGTAGGCAAATAGTTAACGAACTCAATGACCTTGAATAAACATTTTCCATATGGAAAACATCTTGCAAATGGTTTCTCATATACCGTCCCCCCCACATGTGCTGCATGCTAGATATTCTATTTAAAAATTGTTAAAATATATTATGTCTTAGAAAAAGGTACATATATGAATAGTTGAATTAGTTTTCCATAGACTTTTCTCCATAGCCAGCATCAGGTCAAGAAATAGACCGTGACTGCTTCTCTAGAAGTCCCTCCCTGCTGCTGAGCCTTGCCCTACTATAATTACCCTGACCTCTAGCAGTATGCATTATCTTTGCTATTTTTTTTGACTTGTGTCATTGGAGTTGCAACACAGTTGGGCTTTAGGTCAGGCTTTTCTGATGCAACTTGGGAAGATTCACCCAAATGGCTTTGTGAAGGTCATTTTCATCACTATTTCATCACAGTGTGTGACTCTCCTACCTTCCTAACTGCATGCCGGTTCTCTGGAGGTGTTTGGGAGCATTGCCACTTTAGGGCTGTAGTGAGCACTGCTACCACGACACCCTTGTCTTTTGACAGCTTGTGATGAACCTGTCACATTACTAAGCTGGTGCAAAGCTCAGCTTGACAGAACGTTGCCAGTGTCCTAAAGTGGTGGTATGATTTCCCTGACACCAGCAGTGTCCTGTAGAATTTTTATTCACATATTGCAGGTGACAAAGCCCAAAGGGTGAGGGCCTTTGTCTAAGACACAGATAGTGAGTCCTCCAGCCAGGAGTCATCTACTTATTCTACCCCAAACCTTTGCTGAGCTTGCCCCCTTGCCATCTTTTGTGTTGGGGATGGGAACACTGGGTGCCTTTATATAGCTGAATCTGGTCTGATCCTGGGTCTGTTTTGTATTCCTGCTCTATTATGCTTTTCCCCAGAGGTCACAGACATGGCAACAGACATGGCACAGAGTAGGTGCTCACTAAACATAGATGAGGAGTGAGGAGTGAGACACCTCTGGCCCTGCCCTGCTTTGAGCAAGGTCCATGGCTGCAAACAACAGGCTAGAGTAGGCATTCTCCACCATTACTGGGCTGATGAGCAAACCAGGGATATATAAACTAAATCTCAAGGTAGGTTGGGGTTACTAGGTGGTGGTGTACCCTTCAGGTGGGGCTGGTGTATACTTCAGAGTTAGAGTTTATTGTTTTGGAGAGGACAGGATGTCTTGGAACCTGGGGGTCATGTTTCCAGGGGACAGCAGAAGACACACATTAAGAGAGACATAAGGTCTCAACCAGAAGTACCTTCTTCTGACCAATGGCAGGCAGCAGGAGGCAGGCCCCTCGAGCCTGGCACCCGAGAGGTTTGACTGATTCAGAGTTGACCGAGATTACGAGCAGCCACCTGTTCTGAAAGGAGAAGGGGAGCCTTGGTTGCTTGGTGACCCATCTAATCCCTAGGTCCACAGGGAAGGGAAGAGTTTCCCATCCATCCTCCAAGGGCTGGGGCCAGGAGCATTCCCATCACTTTTTCAGAATGACATCCCCTGATGGAAGACTTCCTGCACTCCATTCCCAAGACTGTGAACTCCACCAGGACAGGGGCCTAAGCAGTCTACCTGTCTCTGGAGCATGGCTAGTCTCGAGTTCAGATAGTGGTGTCCTCCCTACTGGACTTGTAGCTCTAGGGGGAAGCTAGAATCTCCATGGTACCTGGTTGGCAGGGGTTTCTTCTACTCTTCCCAATCTCTTGCGAGGATTTTACAATAGAGTCCCTATAATATGTTATCACAGCACATGAGAGTTATGGCTCCTCCCTTAGTACCTACCAATCCCAAGGAGGCCTCCCAGAATGGACCCCAATACTCACCCACAAGGCCTTTCAATAGCTTCACATCCAGCTGCCGGAGAATGTCACCGATCAGAGGACATACCTAGGTCCCCAGCCCAGAGACGGGGTCAGTCAGGGAGAGGAAGGAGCTAAGGTCTTTGAGGCAAGCAGCCCCAGCACCACTGGATTCCAGCAGGACCCAGCCAACCACTAGGAGCTATGCACAATACACCCAAAGCCCCACAACTATGAGGTGGGGACTTCAACTGCCTCCTGTACTACACACGAGGACATGTGTAGACACTTAGGGTGGCTGTCCCTTGCTTGTGGAAACAAATCTGATGGTAACTGGGATTTGCTGTCAGGCTCCAAAGCATTGGGTTAGAAGTTCTCTGCTAAATTAGCCAGATGTGTGCCTTGATCCTTAGACTCATGGATGCCTGCGGGGCAGATGGCACTAGAGGACACCTTACCTGACTTTCTACTAGGTTCGGGATAACTTTCCCCAGGCTTTCTCGGAGGTTGTGGAGAAAATGTTTCATCTTGGGTGGGACTGCCCTAGGAAAAGAGGTGGGAATTCAGGACAGAATGAATCAGTCCAGGCCACACTAATGCTGGGAGGTATGTACTGAACACAGTCTCCCACTCCAGATCCTTGCTTGGTCTTCTAGGGAGGTACTCTTGTCAACCATCGTCAATAGGGACCCGGAGAGGTGATGTGGCACGGCCAAGGTCACACAGAGAGTAAGTGCTGACTCTCATGAGGACCATGACAGGATAGTTCATGGTCTCACTCTGCCTTGTCAATGTCTGCTACCGTCTAAGCTGGCACCACACACCTGATGTTTACATGGGCAGGCATGCAGGGTATCATGGTTCAACACTCAGGAGTTACACAGAGAAATCAGCACACCTCTCACAGTGGTGTGTTGAGATGGACAATTGGTCAGTCAGTCCCCAGAGCTCCATCCAACTCTTGTGTCTATCTTGTTCACCCAGGTGTCTCTAGCATGAGGCTGGGTGCCTGGCACTAGGAGCTTCTTGAGAAATACTTGGGGATATCGTCATGAGTTGCTTAAAAATGCCAGAAGGCATTCCAGAAACGATATCAACATGTGCAGGCGTAGGGGTGTGAAGATGAGTGACTGTTAGTGGAGGAGAAACGGCCACAGAACTGGGCAGGGATGAGGACAGAGGGCTCAAGAGGCTTTTCTGAATTTGTTATCCACCTCAAAGACTTGGAGCAGGAACCAAGGGGGAAGTACAAGAATTCTGCATTAGGAACTTATTTCTGTGGTGGTGGGTGGAGAATGGGGTGGGGTCAGGGAACACAGGGAGGGAGGGGGCCTGGCTTCTTGGAGCAGGACACAGAAGGAACAAATCCTGGTGAAGGGATGAGGTCTGCTTTGGACTCATGAGGACAGGTAGGGGATATGAAGCCATAGTTGCTCATGAGTCAGGGCTGCCCTGGGGTGGGGGAGGCCTTACTCAGTGGACATGGATGCACCCTCACTGCCGGGCTCCATGTGGCATCTGCCCATCACCAGTTCCCTCCGGCCAAACTCATCTTTCTCCAGCCAGGACTCTGCAGTAAGGCCCATGCGGGCATGCGTTTTGATGATATTTGAATTGAAGGGCCTATGGTGAGAGAGGGGGAGGCAGAAGGGATGGAGTAGAGGGAGATGGGGAAGCCATCAAGAAGAGCAGAAAAACCAGACACCACCCACTGTCCTCCCAGCAACTATATCTGCTAAACCCTAGGTTAGTGAGTTGACTATAGAGACCTATATGATTGTTTTTCTTTTTTCTGATGCTAGAAATGGAGTGCAAAGCCTGGGCATGTTAAGCATGGGCTCTACCACTGAACCCGCTCCCACACCCCATCCTCACTGCCAGTTGCTTAGGGAGACCAGTTTAGGAGTCTTTGGAAATCCAAGGGTTGAGAGTAAGCTGCTATTTTAAGAGATTTTCTGTGTGGCTACAGCTCCTGGCTCCCTTGTAGGAAGTCTGAGCAGGAGGGGAACAAACAGAGGAAGAGGAGGAATGGTTCCCCTCCCTTTCTTTCATGGTACCTAGATGCTGAGATCACATGGGTTTGAATGAGCAAGTGACCCTTTCACTGTGAGTGTCATCTCTGCTGCTGCAGAAGAAACCAAGGTTCAGGGAAGAGTGACTCATTCCAGGTCACAGTGAATCAGTGCAGGGGATCAGGATTTGAGTTCAGGTTGGAGTCCCTCGATCTGGATTTCCTAGTTTGCTACCCAACCCCACCCTGAGCTCCCAGGTCCCCAAGAAGGAATAGTGCCCGAGAGATGCTGGTTTGTTGGGTAGGACTCACAGTTGGAATTCGACATCAAATTCCAGTGTGATGTTTGTGGAGAACCACTCTTTAGGGAAAGCCATCTGGATGCCATCACAGTACAGCTGCACATTGGTGATGTTGATGCTACCCTTGGAAAAAGCAGAGGTCCCACAAAGATGAGGGATGGCAACTCAGCAACGAGGCTAGCCTTGACTGCAAGGAGGGGCAGGTGGTCGGGCTGGGAAACAGAGTTTTGTGCAAATGCTCTGACAGCCTGGGCGGCCAGCTGTCCCAGGGCTCCTGAAGCATCCCACCCCCAGGCTGTGTATTGTGCAGTCCAGAGCCAGATGTTGACGGGCAAGACCTTACTTCTCAGAACAAGGCTCCCTCTGTAATAGATAGTCCTATCATCTGTCTGGGACTCCAGAGGGAAGCTCCTTGGTGCTTCCACACACCACATACCTTCTTGCTACCTGCAAATCATCTTGGCCTACTTCAATATACACAAGTTTGACTACTTTTGTTGCTCACACCACCTCTTCCTGAAGATGTTTCAGTTCCTTCCTGGGCTCCCTGCTGCAAGCTTGGCCTTTCTGTAGACTATTCTTCATGAGGCAACCTGGGTGGCCTTCATACAGTCCCTTGACCCCTGGTTCCTCCCTACTCTTGGAATAAGATACAAACCGTACACCACAACCCCCAAGACCTGCAGGGTCTACACAGAGTTTCACTGTGGCATTGATTTCTCCACCTCTACCACCCACCCTTTACTCAGCTAGATGTGCAGGGGTGCTCTTTCTTCTTCAAATGCACCCATCTCTTTCCTGTCTCTGGGCCTTTGTACCTACAGCCTCTTTTTCCCCAACCACTCTGCTGTATCTCTCATGTCATATGCTACCTTCTCTTCCAGGGTCACCTCTTAGACAGGCTCTGATAAGCCTCCTCACTCCCACACCTCACCTTGTTAAATTTGTTTTTGTGGCATGCCTCTTCATATGAAATTAGATCTATATCACTGGGATGCAATCTCCCCAAGGGTAAAGGTCATAGGTTTTGTTCATACCTCTATTCTCCTTGTGATTTGTGCACAATAGATGTTGGATTATAACTGTAACATTTGTTGAAGGAATGACTAAAAAGATTTTGGCTGCATGCTTCTTAGGAAAACCCTGATAGTGACTTCTGTTGCCCACTCAGATAGAGAGAAATGTCAGGAGAAGGTGCTCAGGGAAGAAGAGGTAGAAGAATAGCATTGCCAGGACAGAATGGAGACCCAGGAAGTAGAAGGTTCAACGGGGCAGTCTTAGTGGGTATGGGTAGGGTGTACTCAGTATTGCCATGGAAACCCCAGCTACCAAGGGTTATATATCCATGGATTCACCACAAAAGTTCTGTACAGGACTGGTAGAGTCCCCAACATCTGCAGTGGGACGATTACTGTCATTGTTTCTCTGGCGAGGGCCCAAGGTTTGTGTGCAGTGTAGTCCACTGCTTATGCAGACACACTTGAACAAAGATTCAAGTATCTGGTTGCAGTCCTGGTCTCATTTGACATCCTAGCTCTGTTCTGTGTTCCCATTTTGCAGGTGCATTTAGAAAGGATGAACAATTTCCCCAGGGTGGGTGGCAAAGCTGGGCTTTAGGTGCAGACATGTCTGCTTCTGAGCTGTTATGGCTAATTACCCTCATGTGCCACCTCCCCAAACAGCTCCCAACAGTGGCCTCCAGCTTGTTCTCATCTTGGGCTTTGTGTCTTACCTTCCTTGAGTCTGACTGAATGCCTTCCTTCTTCAGAAGCCTTGCTCTCTGTTTTGTCCTCTGACCCCAAGGTCCCTAGAGTGCCCTCAGTGTCTTGAGTGGAATTCGAGGTCTCACCTGATCTCTTGTTGCTGCTTGAAGTTCATGCCACCAATCAGCCAGCCCACCATCCCTGGGGCTGCCATCCCCGAGACATTCAGGCGGTCCAGGAGCCTTATGCTCTGGATCCGGCCTTCAGCGTTGTGCTTCAGGAGGCCCTGTGCAATAACTGGAAATGGAGAAGGGATGGTGATGTGCATATTGCTGTAGGAGAAATAGGTCTGGTCTGAGCCCAGGGTGTGCTCTTTCTGGTGAGCACTTATTCATGTCTCCACGTCACCCACAGAGAAGAAATGGATCCGTTTTTAAGAATTTCCTAAGTAGAAACTGTGGCTGAAGATCTCTCCCAGTTGTACCCAAAACACCTACTAGGATGATAATAAGAAAATAATTTACTTTGCAGCAAAAATTATACATTCTCACGGGACTACTTGAGTAACTATGCTCAAAACTTACAGAAGATTTTATGGGGCATAGAGTAAAATCTGATTAATAACACACTAAGCCTGTGGGCGGGGTCTCCCATTATGAAAGCATTCCTTTCTTCTAAATATACAGACAGATTCAAGGTGGATGTGATCAGATCCAGATGAAGCCTTTGAGAGGAGCTCAACACACTTGAAAATTCATGTGGAAGAATAAAATAGGCTGTCAGAAAGATCAGTCTTGCACAAAGAGGCAATAGTTAAAGTGTTATGTTACACAGAGAGGTCTGTGAGCAGGTGGAGCAGGTCCTTGTGTTGTTGGGAATTTGGCCAGTTAGTAGATGATCTAGGAAACAGACTCGTGTGGGCAGAAGTCTGGCTCTTTACTTTCCATGCACAGATGCACACAGAAATAAATGCCCACTGTGTGTGTGTGTGTGTGTGTGTGTGTGTGTGTGTGTGTGTATTAATACCCTCAGTGTGGAAAGAAAAACTAGAATTCTGTTGATAGAGACAACTAGAGTAATTCTGGGATGTGATAAGATCTCCAGATTCCAGACACAAACTATATAATGAGATTTTGGTGAATTTGAAACTATTCCTGCTCAACAAAGTCAATAGGTGGCATTTGGGAGGAATACTGTCCAACTTCTGTTTTATCTGCAGAATCAATCAACCATGGGTTGGAAATATTTGGAAAAAATTACCTGTGTTCTAAAAATACCAAGTCTTTTTTGCCATTATTCACTAAATGGGCAATAGCAGTTATTTACATGTGATTTGCATTGTCCCAGGTCTTATGAGTAATCTAGAGATGGTTTTAGGTATGAGGAAGGATTTGCATCAGTTCTGTGCAAACACTGCACCATTTTATGTAAAGGGTCTGAGGATCCAAAGATTCTAGGATCCAAGGGGGAAACAATCCCCATGGGAACCTAGGGACAGCTGTATTTGATATAGTGCTTTCAAGATAGTAAATACATTTAAATGAGGTCATAGGGTTGGCCCTAATCTAATAGGACTGGTATCTTTGGACGAGGAAGACATCAGGTATATCCTTTTCTGAAAGGCTATGAAAGGATGCCATCCATAAGCCAGCAAGTGAGGTCCCTTCCCAGACATCAAACCTGTCATCACAGTAAACTTGAACTTCCAGCTGCCAGAACTATGTAAAGAATAGCCGTATGTTGTTTGGCTCAACTGCCACCACCCCAGCCTCACCCTATCTATGGCATCTTGCTTTGGCAACACTGATTGATTGATACAGGTGGATACCCTCCAGTGGTGGGGAGCATGCTGACAGATATGTTCTCTTACAACTGGAGTTAGTGTGCACCAGCACAGTCATTTTAAGAGGACTCCAACAGTTTTAATTACATCAAGCTTACATCTGTTCTGGATATATATATATCTCCAGAGAATTCAAGAGGAATTCTCTGACATGTTCTAATGGGGACACGTCCAAGGATACTCATCTCAGTGTTGTTTACAGCAGTGGGAAGGTACAGACAGTTTAGGTGACAGTCCCGAGGCAGCAGCCAATTAAACGGAGGTAATGAAATGTGTAGGCTTCTCTGCAGCAGCCAAGGCAACTGAGATGCCATCAGTAGAGCAGGGAGTGAAAAATAGAGCAAGTGACAAGTCAGGGTCATACAAATTAAAACACCTCCTGCAAAGGATGCAGATAGAGTCTCACGATATGAGACTAGGCTGGCCTCAAACTCAGAGACTTGCCTGTTTCTGACTCCCAAGTGCTGGAATTAAAGGCATGCACCACCATGCCCACTTAGATACAGACAGATACACATGCTAAGTACATGGCAATTCCTGACAAGGTCTGTAAGGGAGTGGGAATAAGGATAAGGGAGAAAGAGAAAATGGCATAAAACAAAAGACCACATAGCATGAATTGGAAAAAAAATTTAACTTAGTCTCAATTTTCTATACTTAAGGTCCAAGAGAAAATAAATAAGTGAACAAACAATAAAAACAAACAAATAAATAATAATTAGAAGAAAGGCTGACCCAAGGTGGTTCAGCAGTCAGTGGTGTGACCCAGGCTGTGCCCTCCCTACATTCTTTGGATAGCAGGCCACATCCAAGGGTGAGCTTACTTCTTTCTAGGGTAGACCTTCCATCCTTGTGGGCTGTGGTCAGTCCAGGCCAAGGCTCCTTGAGCAGGGCCGAGGGCAAGACTAGCAATCCCAGTAGGAGGATCAAGAACCTCCAGAGTGGATGCATCTCAGGAGCTGGCACCTGAACCTGCAGGTGTCAGTAAGGGTCCCGCAGGGTCCAGGCAGCTGGCTGTGAGTGTGGCCACCCAGATGGGTGGGCTTAAGGCTTCCTTCAGGCAGGTGGCTCCACAGCTGCCCGCAGCATGCTGTGGGAGGTGGTGCAAATGGCTCTGGCAGCTGCTCCCAGGGCTGGCTCACATGGCCAGCAGATGCAAGAGGCCAGGTCTTCAGAGGCAAGCCTGGTTGCTTGGAGACGCTCACCAGAGCTACTGTTGGGTCATCCAGCAAGAGTCCTCTCCCTGACCCTGGCACAAGCTGCATGTTATTGATGCTTCAGTGAGTGAGGATGGTCAGCCTAGCAGTGTCCAACTGGAATAGAACTTTCTTATTCCTTTTTTCTTTTGGGGGGAAGGCAGCCTCCAGAATTTATTCACCCCTAACTGCAAGGCTGTATCCCTTGAAGTCCATCTCCTCACCTGTCTATCCTGTCACAGGCCCTGTTCTACTCTGTTCCTGTGCTTTCTACTTGTTTTAGATCCTACTTTCAAGTGAGATCACACAGTGTTCATCTTCCAACAACTGGCTTGTTTCACATAGCAGAATAGCCTCCTGATTTGTTCACATCATCACAAATGGTAGCATTTTCTTCCTTGCGAAGGTCTAATAATATTCCATTCACCCACTGATAAACACCGCAGCCATTGTGAACACTGCCTAACTGAACAAAGGAGGACAGGTTTTTCTCTGATGTGACCTTTATTTCCCCTATATACCCAGAGTGGGATTGCTAGATCATATGGTGGTTGTTTAATTTTTTGAGGTTTAATTGTTTTCCATATGATCAATTTACATCCCATCAGCAATACAAATGGGGTCACTTAATGTTCTCTCCAACATTTGACATCTTTCAACTTTGTCTTTTTATATGATATTTTGTTTATTCTTTCAGCATTTCTTATACAGCTTATTTTGATCATATCCACCCATCCCTCCCTCCCTCCCAGCTTCCTCCAGGCCCCACAACACATCTCTCTCCAGTTAGTGCTGCATATATGCACATCCCCCATCCGCGGGATGACGGGAATCATCTTTTCAATTCATTAGCTCATCTATTGATTAGATTTTATTTTGTTCATTTTGCTTGTTGTTTTGTTTTTCAAGACAGGGTTTCTCTCTGTAGTCTTGGCTGTCCTGGAAACTCACTCTGTAGACCAGACTGGCCTCAAACTCACAACACTCTGCCTCCTGAGTACTGGGATTATTTAAAGGTGTGTGACACCACCACTTGATGATTGGATTCTTTTGTATTTTTGCAGTTCTTTGCAAATCCTAGATATTAAATCTCCATCTGATGTGTAGTGAAAAAAGATATCCCCCCCCCCACGTTCCATGGGTTGCGTCTTTGCTCTGGTGATGGTTTCCTTTGCTGTGTAAAAGCTTTTTAATTTAATATGATCCAATTTTCCAGTTATTGGGATTATTTCCTGTGCTTTTAGTGTGCTGTTCATTAAGTCCTTATCTATGAATATATATTTGAAATGCCTTCCCTGTGTTTTTCTCTATTAGCTTCAAAGTTTTGTGTCTTGTATTAAGGTATTTGATCAGTTTTAAATTGATTTTTTTTTTTTTTTGCAGGGTGAAAGACAGGGATCTAGTTTCACTCTTTTTTTTGTTTTTTTGAGACATGGTCTCATGTATTCCTGGTTATCCTGGAACTCACTGGTCCTGTAGACCAGGCTGGCCTTGAACTCATAGAGATCCACCTGTCTCCGCTTCCTAAGTGCTGAGATTAAAGGTGTGTGTCACCATGCCTATCTTATTTTCATTCTTCTGCATGTGGAAATTTAGCTTCTTTAACACCATTTGTTAAAAAGACTTAGGCTCATATTTTGTTGGGGCAAGATGAACAGTAATATGGACCAACACACATACTTTCCTGAAAGAAAGTGCTAATGAAATTAAGTGCCAATGAAATTTTGAGTGACTGACTGCACAGATGTGTGAAGATGTCTCTGGTACTTAGTCTATCTAAGTCACAGTGGCAAGATATCTAAGACAAACAAAAGGAGTGGGGTTTATTGCTGCTTCTGTTTTCTGAGGTCTCAGTTCTTGATTGCTTTGCCTAGTTCCTTTGGAACCTACAGTGGGTACTCTAATATGCAGGAAGCACATGGCAGAGGAAAGGTGCTCACCAGACGGCAGCCAGGAAGCAAGGACAGATACTCATCTTCATAACAAACCCCTTTGTTTTAGTCACTGTTCTACTGCTGTGAAGAGACACTATGAGCAAGGCAACACTTATGAAAAAGGCATTTAACTGGAGGGTTGCTTACAGTTTCAGAGGTTTAGTCCATTCTCATCATGGCGGAGAGCATGGCAGTATGGAGGCAGGTGCAGGAGCAGTAGCTGAGAGCTTTACAACCTGATCCATAGGCAGAGAGAGAGAGAGAGAGAGAGAGAGAGAGAGAGAGAGAGAGAGAGAGAGAGAGAGACTCTAGGCTTGTCACGGGCTTTTGAGACTCCAAAGCCCACCCCAGTAACACCCTTCCTCCAACAAAGCCACACCCTAGTCCTTTTAATCCTTTCAAATAGTGTGACCAAGCATTCAAACACATGAGCCTATGAGGGCTGTTCTTATTCAAACCACCACATAAGAGGCTCCATCCATTAGTGAGATGAAAGGCCATTTGATTCAGTTATCTGTTAGCACCTCCACCTCTTAGTATTATGGCACCAGGGACCAACCAAACCTTCAACATTATGAGCTTTAGGGAAAATTTAAGGTCAAACCACAACAATGCATTGTCTCTATGTGTCCTTTAAATTATGAGGGAAGAGCATGTGTCTAATTAGCCCTGTGTCTATAGTACCTACCACATTTGGCACAGAGTAGTTACTAAAGATGCTTCTTAAATGAATGGTTGGATGAATGAGTGGGTGGGTGGTTGATGGACGGATGGATGGTGGCAGGATGGATGAACTTCAATTACTTGGTGAGGTTCTGAGGAGGAACAGAGAGGCTGGAAGTAGAAAAATCAGGATTCCCTGTAGCTCTGGTGTGTGTGTGTGTGTGTGTGTGTGTGTGTGTGTGTGTGTGTGTGTGTGTGTGTTATTTAAGCATCATAAGGCAGATAAGGTAAATGTAACAAGTGACCTGACATAAATTTACCATAGTGCCAGAGGGTTTTCTTTTTAATCACATCCCGCCCTCATTGTCTCAAAAGTGGAACCTAGATTCCCCTGAAGTCCCAGTTGCAGCCTTCGAGCTGCATTTGACTCCCCTGTCAGCTCTCTCTATCCATTCAGTAAGAAGATCGTGTCCTCAATTCCACCGTCTTACTACCTCAGGCCACCCACCACTATGCCTTGAGCCATTGCAAAGATTCCCCGGCTTCTGCCCTGCCACTTAACAATTCTTTTCTGCACAATACCCAAGAAGTCATCAGAATTTGTTAATCAGACCATGACACACCTCTGCTCGAAATTCTGCTACTCCACACAACAAGAAACTTTGTGAGCCATGCCCTCTCTGACTTTCCATCCCCTCCTATTTGCTTTGTGTGTATGTGAATGCCTGGGTAGTGCCTGTATTTGTCTCTCTGTATGTGCAGCTACATATGTGTGTATGTGAGTGTGGTGGCCAGAGGTTGAGCTTGGGTGTCTTCCTCAATCACTGTCCATCTTAGTTTTTGAGACAGGGTCTCTCGATGAACATGGTGCTCATCTGTCAGAGCCTGCTCCAAAGTGTCAGCTCGGTTATCTGAGTAGGGGCGTGAGGATTGAGAAAAGGCAGATAAAAGAAAGGGAGACAGAACACAGGGCAGATTCAGGAGGACTGTCCAGGCCGTGCCTTTCAGCACACTGGACAGCCTCAAGTTTAATTTAGACTCTGCTTATATACAGGCTCGAGGCAAAGCAGAGCAAAGAGCAGCATAGTCAATTAACCATTTCCCTGCACTGTCCTTGAATTGAAGAGCAGTAAGTTTCACTATCTATCACATGCATCCTGCTAGCAGCAAGCAGCTCCATTCCCTATCTCCATGTGCCTTTTGGCTGGCATCAGAAGCTTGTTAGTTAGATAAAATGCTCTTTTCCATGGGCTTAATCAGAACTTTCTCACAGTTCTCAAGGAGACTGAAACAAGCACACTTGAACTCTCATGTCTTATAAGTTAGAATAGACTGCAGATGTGAATGCCTGGGTAGGCTCCCACAGTCATCAATTCTGCTAGGCTAGCTAACCAAAGAGCTTCAGGGATCTACCCATTTCCTCATAGCCCCAGCTGAAGCACCTATCTTTTATGTGGGTATCAGGGATACGAATTCAGGTCCTCACATTTGTCAGTATGCACTTTGCTGACTAAGCCATCTCCCTAGCCTTCCTCAAAGGAATTGCTACTGTCTGTGTGCTTTCCCTGACACTATGGGGTATGGGCCAGGTCAGGTGATGGAGAACAACTCTCACAGAAGCACTAGCCCACCCTGGGACTGTACACTCTGGTTTTGCAAGAGATCACATTGAGAACTTTATCTCAGGGTGTTGGCATTGCACTGTTTGAGATCTTTTCTCAGAGTAAATGCCCCCCTTGAGGATGTTTGCAGAATATCAATTACTTCTTAGTGTACTTTGGTGCCCTTCCTGGTCTTATGTAAGTAGTTAGAATTTAATTATTTTTGTCAAGAAAAGCAGATTAGAGTAGGCACCACTGAGGGACAAACTTGGTGCTCTGGCTCTTAGGTGTCATTGCCTGGAGGAGGGAGGTGGTGGCTGGGATGCTGTCTGTCCTATCTTCTTGTAACTATAGTTCTCAGGGTCATAGAGTCTCATGGCACAATAATGTGGAGAGTCTAGTCTCATAGATCTTAGCTTTTGATATGAATGTAGTTAGAGGGATGAGAGGGCCATGCTCAGAGTGACTGCTGCTTTTGGACCCAGCTGGGTGCAGAATGACATGCAACTGAGAGCATGTGTTCCACAGTCATGAAGACAAGATGGAGCTCTTTCCTC